ACAGGAATGTCTCGCTGTTAAAGGAATTTTATGAGAGTGAAAGTAATTTGCAAAAATTTCAAAAGTTTAATGAGCAAGCACATAGCTACAAGCATAAGATGAGTCAGATTTGGCTGTTGAATAAAACGTCCTGACAGAATTCATCACAAAAATCCTGCGGACCAAAGACACTCACAAAAACTGCAATAGCGGCTTATGTATTTCTGTTTTATTTGGCTAAAATTAAGTGCAAACATAGGGAACACGTTAGAGTGCCTTCTTGTTTGGGGTTAGCATTCAAAAGTAGTCAGTAGGCCTTAAGGGTGGAATATCATCCCTCACATGCAGTGTTATTAGTATTTATTTTTGAGAGCTTACAAAAATAAAATTGTGTGGCCGGAAGAAAAAGGCGTTCCTCCTCAAGTCCAAACTTCTTGCTAGATAAACAGATGACTAAGCTTTTAAGACAGGGCCTAACATTGTGACCGTAGTCCCTTGACGGTTTAGTAGGAAAGATGAGACTGAGTTATAAGTATATCGCGGCATAGGTTTCAAAGATATTGAGGCTAAAACGCATCTTGTCACCTTCAAATCAATTTCAAATCCAATGTAGGTCAATAGGCAACTGCCCAAGCTACAGCGTTAAGTCATATTCAGATATGAATCAATGACAGCTACTAGCTTTGTCGATTCTTTTAGGGAATCCGATTTCGCCCAGCATGCATTGTTGCGTCAAATAAAGTATTCGGTTAGAAGCTCATTGCAGTGATCAAGACAAAAGGTCGCTCCGTTATTGTACAAACCTATCTCTCAGATTTCCATTGGTCCCTATAAAACTACGTCGCTGGCCGAATAAGTGAGGGACTGCTTCCTACGTGAAGGTTTATACCTAAGTAGACACAGGAAGTCCTCGTTTAAGTTTTCTCTAATGGGTAACCCATAAGGATCGAATATGCACCAAGAATACTAAAAAGTACTCTACAGCACTTACAGGCATAGAAGGCACATTTTTGCATTTTTTAGTAATAACGCATCCCTTTAAGGGAACATACTTGCCCGAACATTACCACATATACGTAAAATTTGGATGTACACAAAGCTGCGATGTGGATTGAGCAGAGCCAATCGTTCGACACTAATAAATACGCCTATGTTTTGTCAGGAAGTATAAGTAGAAGTAGTATACAGCGTAGACAAGGTGTTTAAGCAGATTCTTTGACTCTTTGTCGTAAAGATCGTAAACGCATCTTCTACAGGAAGGCATTCAAAGTTGTGAGACACGTCGTCAACTAGAAATAAATTTTATCCTAGTCCAAACTATTTAGGGCGGTTAATTGTCCGTAAAACTGAATCAAAGGTTAAATTGTTGGATTAAACTAGTCAGAAACCTAAAGTACATTGTCAAGATCAAACTTAACGCCGCCGAATGAAGGCATTCTTTTGCCCGAACTCATATTGGCAGTGCGTAGAAACAGGTTTGAAAAAAATATGGCATATAATTCAGTAACTTTGTTCGATGCATTAGAACATTTGAGCCATGTGTCAGTCAATATATCAAACAAACAGGAATAATCAAAAACGACCATCAGGCAAACAAATTTGCTCCATCCTTCTCGCAGTAAAGTCAAAATCCTGAAAACTTGCAACATAATGTTAGCATCTGTCTGAACCTTAGTGTCGTTACATAAAGAATAATTCCACTAACGTTATACTTAGACACAAAAAATTAGTTAAGTTGTGCACGTTTTAAAATAAAACACTATAAAGTTTGTGTAACGTCGGGCTACATTTTAAGCAACTGTCTTAGGAGCAATTGTTCCTTTCTGACGTTTTATTTTCATACTTAAGTCCACATACGACACACATACGACATACATACACATACGATTGTTGAACAGCATGCAGAGGTAGGATCACAGATTGATGTGTCTCCTGATTGAAGTAGCTTCACAGATTTGCGAAACGGGCGTCACCTTCATACAGTCTTTTATAAAAATTTTACACGCGCTAATACCCTCAGATATTTTGGGCTTTCAAATACAATGTACCTATGCTAGTCCAAAGCTTAATCTTAATTACTGGCTGTTCAGATTTTCTTATAATTTCAATTTCTTGAAATAAACACTTATCTCACTGGAGAAAACTTAAATGCTTCAGTAACCACTTTGGTGACAAAGTATAACTAGTAGCGTAATAGTCGCATGGTCAACTAGTGCGCATCTGTTAAATGTTCTGCCGAAATTTTACAATAGTCTGAGGTGCGCGATGAATGAACTGTTACGAGACATTACCTTATCCGATATTTTAAGCGAGGAATTTGATGAAATTTAGACTAGTTCACACTCCTCTAGCTCGCGAGGGCAAGGTCGACTTGAGTCAATGAACAGCTCGACAATTTACCTTATAAATCAAATTTTAGAAAGCTTCAGCGATTATTAATATTTAGCTAATGTTCTTCTAGTAAATTTACTGAAACTTGTCGGATGAAAGAACATTAGCATGCCGTCTGCACTGCTGTGACATATAAAATCACAAAACGTCCCATATTCTGCAGGTACCTCGGCCGCACAGACCATTAACATTAAATACGCTGAATTAAGACTGATCGTTTAGCGTGGTTTTAGCCGTCGCTGTCTTATAGACCAGTTGTTCCTTATAAGTCATTTCCGTATGGCCTTAGACCACGAACCACCCACTGACAACGCCCTATTTTGAGAATTATGATCACACTGGTTCAGTCATAGTTAAGGCCGATATTATCAAACAAACAAATGGGACTTTTACCTGAGGCTTTACGACAATTAGCCTAGCAGAATGAAGGTCAAAAAAATTTCAAAAATTTCATTTTGCTTTACGTAAATTTAATATCTAAACGAGTATGCCTTATAAATGCACGATTTTAACCTAAACTATTTTTTCTCCCTGCATTTTATATCCACGTATGTGGTGGCCACTTTACACGTGGCCCGGCTAGGCCGCTGTAGTAAAAGATCTTTTACGAAGGCCCGGATGTGGATTTCAAAGAACACTGGTGCAAAAGGGGCAATGCAGGGCCGGTGTTGGCAGCAATTCAGTCATCTCTTATAAAAGTTTTTATAGTTATCTAGATAACTCGTTATAACCAATTCTGTGCATGAATAATTAGCCTTTAAAGGCTAAGGCGGCTATATCCACAAGGGCTTGCGAATATAGCCACCTTAGCCACCTTAATGCTGGCCAGCAATAATGCCAATATGCAAATTTGTACGAAAAAATTTCGGCCGCCAATTTACGAGTATTGCTGGAAACATAAGTGTCCCAATTATCAGAAAGATAATAAATTGCTGCAAATCATTTGCTAACAGGCAAATTTTCGGGGTCAATCTGAACGACAACACACAATTTAGATAAAAAAAAACTCCAAATTTTATCGAGAAATGGGCATATTGTTAAGGTGGAGCATTGTTTTTCAACACGTATTTTTAGCTATTTGGTGCGGAATATGAGGAGTGCGTGGACGCAGAGAACGGACAATGGCACAGCAAAGGGCAATACTTTAATGTCCGCGCGCTTTGGTGAACTCAAGGTCGGAGGAGGTGGATGTCCACATGAGGTGAGATCCATGGCCACTAACCCAGACGCGGAGTTCGGCGAAAGATAGGAATGATAATAAGTCGTTTACTTAAAAGAAACACCCATTAGCATACTTGGTTACACATGTGCCAGGCGAACAATTCGCTGTCTACTTATAAATGTTTATGCACGCAGAGTCTAAAACTTACCACATTTTAAACGGCTGCGAAGCAAAAAACAAAAGACTTGTAGTTATAGTCATCAACGTGATTCAAAACAAACGGGACAGTGCTGGTGTGCATGGCAGAGTGAGGAGTGATTGATTTCGCTCACACAAATAGGGCAAGGACTGCACGACCAATGTGAGAAAAAACAAGAGCGGACGAAAAGATGGATGACTAAGAGAGCGAGAGCAGGGATAGTGAGACTGAAAAATAGAAAGTCAAAGTCGTACCTCGAGATAATTGTAAACTACTCAGAATAAAATAACTCGAATCGGATTCACGAGTTCTACATCGCTTTCGATCAAGATCAGATAAAAAAAAATAAATCCATAAAGGTAACATTCATGAAAGAAGGGTACCCTAGTAGCATTAAATAGCTACCTGATGCACTCTTATCGCGGAAGTCTCTCGATTGGGCTATCTCGTCCCCTGATCTGTCGGCGAGTTTATCGATTTCTCACAGTCACTGGCTGGCGCGCTTGAGCTATCAGTGCTCCTACGCCGCATGCTCGTCGCCATTATTGCTTGCGTATCGCGTGCGGCGTGTGCTATCAACTGCTCTCTGATTCAATCTCTTATACCCTTTTTCGATTTATGAACGCAGCCTTTTTTATTGTTAAAATGTTAAGGCACGAATGTAAACGCACTATTAGGCGGCATGTGAAGAAGAAGCTCGCGGATTCCTTTCCATCTTCCGCATTCGAGAGTTACCTTAGTCGTCTGAAGAGACTCTTAAGTGGTCCATCCAGACCGCTACAGCAAAAAGTAAGGCGAATTAGTGAATTTGACGCACAAGGTGTGTGCTCGCATAGTGGTCAACAGTTTCGACTTCTGCGACTAGAGGTGAACAGTAGATTGCATGACCCCAAGGTCCAGTCGCAGTTGGTAAAGCTTACCGAATTTTATGACATTCATAGACAAACTTCCTCGTATGCCTCGGTGGGCGCAACACCAACGACTTCGTCAAGAGGGGATTTTATTCTTTATTTGACGTCGAGGCTTCCATCCACGTAAATTTCAGAGGAAAAAATACAAAGGAAGACGTGTGTGGTTCACAGATATACGAGGTGATAAAGGGTAGGCCCTTGCGTACATGTAACTCTGCATGGCAAACAGACATTAACGCAGCTGTGAACAAGGGAGGAAAGGCGGACGTATATGAACTCGAGGCCGCCTTCACAAGGCGGCTGAAGCGATCCCTCGACGCCCTTCGAAAAAGGCGATCTCGGCCGAAATCTCTTCTTGATGACTCTGATAGTAAGTGAAACTGAAGTATTATTACACATAATTGGCTTAGAACCCTCAACAGAACCCTCCTCTTCCCGGCCGCGAGAGGAATAGTGCCGAGAATAATTGTATTTTACATTTTTGTAATAAATCATCATTGCTACTTCGTCAAAACATCTGCATTAAACTTTCTTGTGGGGTACCGTAGTTCGTTTAGTAATAAATCGGATTGGAAGTGCGAAAAAGAGTTTTCATAGGTGCTAAAACGAAAAGGTCGCTAAGGAAAGGTGTCCCGCAGCTGCATAGCGCCGTATCGCGACTTTTCGCCATTGCTTCTATAGCGACCACATGGACAAAATCCGCTATAAATCGGTCATTCTATCGCGACTTTTCCACAGATAGGCGCCGTCACCTCGCTATGGAATTGCTACTAGGGTAATATGAGACATGCGGCCAGAATTTAATATTAAGCATAATATACACAATATAAATCCTAGCAACTCAATGGATTCGTCACTCTGGCATTTACTTTATCCACACATTTCTGAATACATGACCTTCAAAAAAAGCATAAACTGATAATAGCTATGTTCACACACGTGCGGAAGAAAGACAAAACTTGAAGATGTCCATAATATTTTCAGAAACCAGAGGAGGATTTAAGACATTTCTGTTTGTGACAGTTGGATTGTAAATAATGCTCTTTCGGCACTTTCCTCAGGGAAACAATTAACCCCCACACTCTACTTTGAATACCCTTCTGAATAGCCTTGCAGAAAATGCCTTAAGGTAAACTTCAAGGTATAGGCCAGAACTCTTAGTGAGCGTAAATGCTAAACCTAAAAGCCGAGACAAACGGTCCCTCTGTGCGTTATTGCTGAAGCATTGTGAACGAGGAGGTAATTATAGCCGAGTTCGTAATGCAGCATATAAAGCTCCTGTCTGTAGGCTACCGAGCAGCGGAACTACTTATAAGGTAACCGAAAGCGACATAAGAAAGCAATCAAATCATTTCACCTTAGGCGATATGCAGGTATCCATGGTAAGTCCAAATTGACTAACAGCTTTTAAAATACGCCCCGATTATTCTCCTTCAGACCACTGCCGATGATTCTTGAAAACCGAGTTCGCGTTGTCATTTTCAAATATTCGAGCGCTTTATTGACCCCTGGTTGCGGCTTCTATTGAGCTGTTATTGTTGGATCTTCTTTTCTGAATTCTTGTTACGGTATGTAAACTTACGATAATTGACTTATTTGCTCTTTGCGGTCCCACCCACAACATTGCGAGACACATATGGCAAGCACATGAACTTCCGATCTGTCGTATATGTCCTGTTGTCGTTCATCTAACACTAAAATCTCTCAAGCCCCCATGCCTATGGAAAGAGCTCCATATAATAGTTATCCGTAAAACCGTTTATGCAAATGGAAAAAAATAAACGATTTTATTCAATATTCATAAAGACACGGTAATGGAAAGTGAAAGTGCATTTTAGAAAGAATTTCAGGATGACTACACAAACACTGTACGGTGTTTAACTTGGATTCATAGAACAGGTAGTCCGATATGAAAACGGCTGGCAAATATCAAAGAGAAACTTCTTCGAGTTTTCTTCAGAAAGAGGAAATTGATATGATTTGATTAGTTGTTGAGTAGAAGAAAACTGTCGCTCATGAGACGGATGATAGCCATGCGGGACAGGGCCATACATAAGGTGCGACCATATAAGAGTTCGAAGCTTTTCTTGTCGAGGAACAGCTGCGATGCCGAAAAAGGCTTTTTGCTACTGGTGTGCCCATAATATTATGGGTATGACGGTAGACGCAGCCGTCAGGAGAAATCTGCCGTGATCGTCAACAGACTGCTTAAGTTCGCGAATGAGGTAATAGCATAAAAATCGGTAAAAATCCTCGCTCTTGGGAACGGAGAGAGATTGCAGTGCACTTATCAATCCACTGCAAACAACGGGTTGCGAAGAACGAATTGATGGTTTCCACTTGAACAATAAAGCATATTCCGTACGCCATCAAACTACTCGATAATCATTTCTGAAGTCCAGAACTGCAGCTTTCTGAAAAAACTAGTCTAAAAGAAGGCATATTTAGATACAAAAAAGGGCGTTTAGAAGTAAAGCAAAGAAGCAGCAGAACAATTATGAAAGTATTGGGCGTCGCAAAAGACTGATATCTCAGAGTAAGCACGCGGACGTTCGAAAGATTCGAATTGATCGTCAAGGGAGCCGTGATAGGGGTAGTTGAAAATACGTTTAGGAAACACTGGCCTTCCCGCATTTTTTTCATGGTTGACGGCAGCTGCATGCACTTAGTTATATTTAAAAAATATCTTCTATTTCCTCGTTGGCCGTGTCTCTCGCCCTCCCAACGCCAGTGAGAATTGTGGCCGTTGTCTTTCATGGCATTGCATGCTGCGGCGACTTAAGCTTTGAGCACCAGTTGGTTGCCGGTGACTTCAATATTTCTGAAGTTACTTGTCTTACCCTTCCAGTTCCAGAAGGCTCGAAAATTTTCTTAAGTCTGCGAATGTTAAGATGTGGAGTCAGGTAGTTGCTGTTCCCACATTCATTAACAGCACATCCACGAAAACCTGCGGTAGATCGCCGTTTGTTTTCATCACATCATGACTTCCTACCTCACCCGCATCTCACTGTACATATATCTCACCCAACCGCTATCTTGCATGCATTAGTGAGGCCTGCGTCTCGGCTCCTTCTCTATGTGGCCCCAAAGCTGCAAGTGTGAGCGGAGTCTGAGTCTTCCGTGGCTCGAATACAGCCGACTGATACCCCATCTCAATTCACGCGGTTAATCTAGTTGTGTGTGTGTGCGTGTGCGTGCTTGTGTGTGTGTTTGTGTATAGTGTGGACTAGTGGGCTGAGAGCCAAGCTGAAGCGGCCCCCTCTGCAGCGATCTGTGTCACTCTCATGTGTGTGAGGAGAGTATGTATACTCCATGGGCAGTGCCTCTCCGTCGACGACTCCCTCGAACACTTTTTGGTTGCCTAACCTTAAGAGATGACGGCTCGGACCCAGGAAAACGTATCGCATTTCAGGGTCAAAAGCTTTCTAAGCGTCTGCTATGCCACCACCAGCTAGCCATGACAATTGCAGCCTCGTATTCGCTTGTAGGTCTCAGACACCTAGTACCCTGCCGTTAGGTACCCTTGTGATCCCGTTAGGTATAAAAGTTGTGGACATGGCTGCCAAGTCATCCTTGTCGCTCTAGTCTCTGATGGGGTGTTGTTGTTGTTTGCGAAAAATTCTGATCCTTCTGTGTGTGGACCAGGGGGACGGCGACACATTTAGGCGTGGCTCCGGCCCCTGCGCTTTCCCCTCACCTCCGGTCTTCTTGATTCCGTCTTGACACCGGGTCCAGGTGAAGTTTTATTGTGTCACATACCTATCGACTCTGTAGTAAAGGAGAAGGCTGCAACAGCCAGCTCAAGAACAGGACCGTTAAAAACAGACATTAAAACCGAATTCATTTAATTATTAAAATAATCTTCACAGTATAGTGGTGAAAACGAACACCGAGTATGCGTGGTCGATCCAATTTGACCTTGACAGCCGCAAGAAATTGTTTGAATATTTAAAATCGGCCTTGACAAGCGTCTTTCGGTAAGCCGCCTGGAAGTGGTGCGCGGTCCTGACGCGTTAAATGTTCCCGGTTTGATCCACTTTACCTCTAATTAGTTGCCTTGCATGTAAAAACGTAAACTTTCGCAACTTGTTTTTAACAATATGTTCGTGATTTAGAGGGACAGAAATTTCTGTAACGCATTAACCGTTACAATTGACCCAAAAGCTTGTCGTTTTGCACGTATAGATTTAATTTCTTAAATAACAACGCTCTTCATATGACTACAGGGCTCCTGCTTGCTCAAAAGCAAAAAAGACTGTTCAATATTCTCGACGATGCACATTTTGCGACTCTGTCTCGCCCAGGGCAAATCCTTACGTGTTAGCTTAGATCTAGAATACCCAACTCTAGTTGACTCGCTAGTCGTCTCTGCAGACAGAATCCGCCGATGGGTTCTTCGCGTTTTGGCGTCAGTTGTGATGATGGGCAGTAAGTTTGACTTACTCGCGAAGAGCTAGACAGAGGCCAGTGCAATGTTACTAGGGCAATCGCACTTTTTTACTGAGTTTTCCCAAGCAAACGACCTCTCAATGCCAAGCTAATTATTAGGCATTAATATGTACCTCTAATTCATAGTAGTGGTTTAAAGTCCTGCTATTTAACTAACGAAGGAAAACAAAGTGCTAGATGCCATATAGCATAACCTACGTTCCCATCTCACATTGCAAAAACCTTGAAGCCTTGCCAAGACTTTTGACCTAATGCATGTCCTTTACGATCAACCACCCTTGCCATCTCAATAATTTTTGATAAGTTTGGTTAGCAAAAACATATGCCACATTAAATTGCCTCATCATCACTGACATCCTAACTACAAATATGGTGTCATAAATGAATGTGATACATAAATTTCCGTATTTCACATGGAGCCGTCTTGTACAAAAACATCCTAATTATTTTTATTAAAATAGACAAAACACATAAAATTAATTAGTCTCTTTGATTGACACAACTTTCTGTAGCATAAATTTCAAAACTTCGCACTTTCTTTCTCCGTCTAAAGATACATCGTATTTTGCGTTTCATCATTATTTTCGTCCCCGATATAGCTTCATTTTCTCCTAGTTAATTACGCGATTTGATAAGACAAAATGTTGAATGACATTTTTAAGACTTCCTGCAACGTGATTAGCGCTCTGATTGGATTACCATATGCAATATGCGCACACACTTAATTGTGAACGTTTAACTATTTATCATAACAGAATAATAGACAGGGTGTTGCACCACCCGTCTAAAGTGTACATTTGTCCTGTCAGAGGACAATTCCTTAATCAGCTTTGCCATTCGGCAAACTTACTTTTATATATTTTCCCTATTGTATTAGCGTGAATTTTCTTTGTTCTCTGCCGAAACCAAAGTTATGATTTTAAGCCAGTATGAAAAGCTCGAAAAATATTTATGACAGGGTCTTTTAGTATTTTGGAATCTAGATGGAGTTCTGCTCAATTACGATTTCGTTCTCGGTTTCTCTTCTGGAAACTATTTTCGGTTGACCAGTTCTGATAAGACAACGCGTTTTGTGTTGTAGATTTGCTTAAAGCTACACATAACAGTCGTTTTTAGATGGCAGCTGCACAATTACAACCCTCTACGATTTTCCGAAACGTACAATTTTTCGTTTTGTGCAGAAATTTGGGAATCTGATTATGACTAGTATGTTGCATTTTCAACACAAATGCACTGGTTTTACGTGAACTTTATCTTTTAGTTTGTAGGAATGCCAATGATTCCAGCCGATTTCACTACTGGAAGTCCAGAGGTAATTTTTTCAAGTCGAATCCTACTTTTTAGTTACCCAATTTTATTGAGGAACATTTTTCGTGTGTGCGGTGTACGAAGTTTGTTCCAAAAATTGAAAGCGGTGCAGAAGATAGGAATGCATTGTCGGAGTCTTGCCGTATTCATTATTTCTGTTCTGTAGGTGCCACTGCGGATATAACTTGGAAGCTCACAGTAGCTCCTCTAGAGCTTCAAATGAAAGCGTCAGAAAATGGGATTCAAGTTTTTTGTCTATAGAAAAGCCCACAAATGCTTACGGGATACTCAGATTCATGAAAGGGCCTTTGCCTGATCCTGCAATTTGTCATGTATGTTCTGGAATTGTAGCGAAGCTCTCATGAATATGACAATCTTATTGCATCATGTTTTTGAAAATAAGGCTGCTTAAGCTGTGTAGTAAATTGAAAATGGTGCGCGGTGATACTGATTGTAGCATTTTGACGTGATTCTCATTTCGCTGAAAATGCAGAAGCCCGTGCATGTTTGCAGCACGCTTTTCCACATTAAAAATGATATCGCCTTATTACGACAATTACTGAGTTAACCAAAGCATATACTTCTTTTTGATTGTAAAATTTTAAGCATGCCGTTATGAAGGTCGTTTTCAGAAAATCAAATAAGCACGATCAGGAGGGTACACTGACACTAAATCGCTGATTGCTTAAGCAAGATATGGTCATTAAACAGTAGTTCTTCTACATAAGCAGCAGAATGTCTGCTATTTCATAGATTTGCATAAAGCAGGGATAGCCATTTATGTGGGTAAATTGACTGAAGACAGTGGAAAGGCAACATGTCTAGAAAAACCTCATCATGCTCGCGGCCCATCTAGGAAATATAATTTTTGTGCTCCTCATTATTGGCTATCTTCTATTAAATTTCTAAGATGATTTCAAGCCAAAGACAATCTGGCTTAGTAGGACGTAACTCCAAATGATGAAGCTATGGCGAGGGCAATTGTAGGTCGTCGTAAGTATTCAAAAGTTTTACAGCGTGAATGAAGTTAATGATTTTCAGAATCTGTTTTATAGAGTTGTTGAGCGTGAGCTCATGGTAATATTGTCGACATTATATGGCTTTACTATATCTTTCCGCATAAATTCACACCCTGACTCAATTCTCACTTTACAAATATGCCTACAAATTTTCACAATCTCAGAAAGGTTCCGTAAGTGACATTAGATCTCCAATTTCCTAGGCCCGACGACAACTGGTTACGTTGCGCCTATCATTTTATGCGAATATGCTGAGCAATTGGATAAGTAGAGGGTTCCCTTGTAAGACTATTTGCAGGTACTCTATTCTCGTTACTTTAACATAAAAGGTTTACATACTTCAGAGCTGGCATCTGCTTTGTAACATAGAAGTAGTAACCCTTTTCCAAAAAACGTATTATCTCCTAATGTGGAACTGGAATCTTTGGCAGTCCAGGCTAACTATTCTGCAACATCTCATCTTAGGACAAACGCGTTTGTCTAAAATTACTGAATTTTAAACGGACACTTTTTTCTACTCTTTTGTATTTTATGTATCTATGCATCTCTTTAAATTTTATTGTACCGGCAGTGTTCGAAGTGTGTATAGGTTGTTTTTTTCCGATAGCCCATTGCTTCGGTGTATGGGATGTTCCCCGTCTTACAAGTGATTTCTTTCCAGTACCTACGCCTTTCCGACAAGGATGATATGAACGCCGTCTTAGAACTTTTAACAAATCATTGGGACGTACTTCCGAAGACTCAGGACACGGTTTGCTTATCATTTCTTGGAAACCCCAGAGAACCGCCCACCCAGCGCCTAGTTGAACTGTTGGAGATAGTAAGCACCTTCTGAATATCGTCACGTTTTAATATATACTGCACTTTTACTGTAAAACCCAGTTTTGCCTTACTGAATAGAGTTCTTTTAGTTTAAGTGCCAGAATATTTTGGGCATGTCGTATGGTGGATGCAGATTGTAGTCTCGAAGAAATAAAATTTGCCTTTTCATCAAAAAAGCAACTGGAGGCAAGCTTTTGCAGTTACAACTTGTTCTAGTTTAGTTTGCTAGACAAGATATCACACAGTTGTTATAGACTTTTGCTAAGGCCATTATTTGTTTAATAGGATGATTCCAAAGTGGCTGCATGAAAAGACCGCACCAAGGATGTCCGTGCAGTGTGCCATGGGCTAGGTTTTTATGATTTGAATTAAAAATTTTCAGATCTTTGACCTATGTTGCCATCTTGTGCCGTCTCGAAAATTCATGAGAAAGTTGACACGATGGAGTACAAAGCAAGTTCCTAATTGCAGTAGATGCTTCGCCAGACGAGTATAGCCGAAAACCAGTAAAAGTGAGGAAATCTTCCTTCTTGACATTTCAGCGTTTGGTGATTATTATCAGATATTCAGAGCTATTTACAGTGTCATTCACACGAGCAGATACAATGGATGAAAGCGGACGTAGAATTTTTTTTACCTGAATGCCAACGTTCACACGTTATCACGGCGTTGTAGATATGAATGCAGTATCTCTGGGATGTGGGCGCTGCACGGCCGGTTGCCAGATTTTGCGGTACTTTCGTCTATGATATCGGTATCGCGACCTTCATGACAAGTTCTGGTTATTTTCATAATAAAATCTCAACAGCCATACTAATCTGCTGTCCTACTGGGTGACAGTTCGCCCATCGAACTATTGCTGGCTGAAGAATCAGCCCCTAGGTAACCCACGTGTTCTTCTATTCTTGTGAAAGTTCTAAATCAACCGAACGTGAAGACGTTGCCCCATCGTTCTTTTTCATCCGCATAATCCGAGCTAACGTCATTCTCATATGTTCTGGATGCATTATCGGATGCTTGCGTTGGGAATATTCCTCTCAGTGTGATTGACATAATAGGCCTGAAAGGAAAGGCGGGAAAATTGTCAAAAGACTGGTCTCGCTTTTTGCGCCACTCCGGACTTGAGAACCTGGTGTTGGATGACTGTCTACAGCCCTTGTACGAGATCGACCCCAAGTAGAGCGAAAAGATCGATCACAGTCTCCGCGATGTCTCAATCTACAAAGTCTGTTGTCGGAATATGAATTAGTGTGATTGCGCGTGACATCTCTTCGCCGTCATTACAGTCTAATTAAGTTATTTTTATAGCCGTTCGTCCTTCATAGACCGAAATCACTTTGGGTTAACAACCTTTTTGTACTTTGTTGCCCTTAAACTCAACTGGATAATACAGCAACCTCAAGTAATGCTGTTTGTTGTGTATTTGGATTTCGTAGTTAGAAACCAAATTTTACACGCTCATAACCCATTTGCTTCGATTACGCTGAGAATACTGAGATGGGTTTTTAAATCGAGTCTTATGTCTTTCTATTGAAGTTTCAGTCTTTGAGCTGTCTTCCATCGGCAAAACGGCAGTTATTTCACCGTTGGTCAAGAGGGCTTACAAAATGCTATGTTAGCATATTATATTTGACGATCAGGTCTTCATGACCGCAGAAAGCTGGCGCAACACTTGCCCTAACTCTTAGCGAACAGCTCTATAGGGTGTATAACAATGTTCTTTTCTTATGACAACGTTATTTGGTACTCCCCATCCACAGACAATGCGCTTGTTTCTAAAAGATTTACTCGTTAACAATTTATCTGAATATGGCCATTCTTCCTGTCGTAGATGTTAGGTATAACAATTATGACATCGCACAGACGATTTCTAGTGACAGCGGGGTTCGTGTTTCTCCCTAAGTGCCAACAGTTCATACCAGTTTCTGGTGCTTTCGCACAGACTTCTCTAGTAACTGATATGTGTTGTTTTTGGTCCTTCACGACAATTTTTGACATAAGTGAGGCCGGCCATCTTCAACACTGAGACTCTTTTTCCTTTGCTCCTCGGAGCTGAAGGTTCGCAAGGGTTCATTTATGCGAGATATGTTTTGTTAAAGTTTATATTCGTAAAGGATCTGTTTTTACGTTCGCCGCCCTATAGGGTCTCATTGAAACAGTCCGAACCGTGGATGTGGTGGTAGTCGCAACTGGAGAAGACTGTCCAATGACGCGGAGGATCGGAAGAGCATTGGAAAAGGTTGACGATCTTCTGAGAAAGGACGGTAATCCAAGAGTTCGCTTCATCGGCTTGATGCCCTGGAGCCTGGTCACGCAAAAGGAAATACTCACAGTTCAGGTGTGTATCAGTCAGTGATTGACACCATCTCCTACAACCAGACGGTTCAGATTTCTGACCAAGGCACATTAGCAGTCGTTTTCGTTCATTATTGAGCAATGTTAAGTGTCACTGGTCGTAAATTTTAAAACTCTGTTGCTAGCAGTATGGTACCTTTAATGGAGATGATCGGATGGCCCTGCTACATCACATATCCATTCTTTCATTACTTTAAAACACCGTCCGCTAAAGTGTCAAACAAACCTTGTAGTTTAGACTTATAAATACAAAATTGATATGAGTCGGAATTTTCGGTTATTGTGACTTTAAAGTGCAAAAGCTGTGCAAAACTTTACTGTGAGCTTATGCATGGTAAGTGCTCACTTCCGTGTCTTAATTCATAACATAGTTATACCTGTTGCCTCGTTTACCGTCCTGACCGCACAGATACTAGCTAAAAACCAAGACACGTGTTTAGACGATATCTTGCCACTGCATAAGTCAGCTACGAGAGTTTGGTCTTGTCCCTGGGTCCTCCAACGTTCCCGTGTGCTTCCTGGCAGACACTACAATTTAGATATTGTTACTTTTTTCTTTCCTCAGAAATTAACTACGTCGAAATTTGTCGTTTCAGTAAAATAAATCATGCAACACCCTTGCATTACTGACTGCATTTCAGCAACTTGCGGATATTACGCGGTTATCCCGCCGACATCGACGGATTTCAGCACAAATAGTTATATCAACTTCTCAACTGAGCCTATAAAAATTTCATTCCGAGTGACTTGCTCCAAATTAACGCATTAATGTCTGGGCGATTAAAAAGATAACATGCAGTAGATGTGCTACCGAATGAAATGTTGGCCATAATTCTGAAATGCGTCTTCGAATCAAAAAGATTAATTAAGAAGGGCTGTAATGTTAACTGACGTGCAACATTATCCTTAAATATTTCAGTAACTTCAGGATGCCGGCTTTTGAATAAACTTCTTTTTAGCCGCCTGCGAAAACTTCACAGTTTAAAAAATGACTACTCAAATGGTATGAATTCTTCACACTGATTTTCGATGGCCTGATAAATTCAAACATATTTCATATAAAACACACATAAAATTATTCATCCTCTTACTCATTCGGTAGAAACTGACGTCATTTTTAAACCTTATACCTGACGGAGGGGTATAATCTGGTGTTAAAAAAGTTTCGAAGGCAACGGTATATATAAGGTCCCCGCTTAACTGCTGGTACAGCGTGGGTCGTGTCATATGGGGATTTATCTTGGCAGACGTTGGCATGCCGTTTGAGAAATTACACTGCGGACAACGATTACTTCCCAAGACCTCAGCCCTTAGCTCGAAATCCGTTATTTTCTGAAATTTACTTTTTATTTATTGTTTAATTACTACTCTCATTTCAGTTGTCATACGATAGCGCAGGATAAGACTTTCGGCATAAATCTAGGCAATTTCTGTGTTTTTTTTCATCTTGTCAAGTTACTGTCTAGCTTGCTGCCGCACCCATAAAACTCCCCTCATCATAAATCTTGTATGACACGATTCACATTTTACTTACGGTTAAGTGGAGCCCTTCTCCATACCGTTACAGTTTCTATTTGTGCGATTTTTTCAGACGGCGAAATGCCTGTTCATAAACCTCGTGTCTCTGCGTTAACTAGTGCTGCTAGTAAAGTTTACAATATGACACTAATCCATTGCTAATTTTTATAAACTTCATATAGTCTCCTTTTAATACCGTAGAAAAATGTATGGCTTTTGGTACACGGAAAATATACAACTTGAGTTTGGAAACTCTGACTACAAGTGTAACAGCATGTCGGGTTCGAAATTATTTCGGAATCGGAAAACTTTTTTAAAATCAAGTTATACCCTTCTTCCAAAGATTAGGTTTATAGAAGACGTAATTTTCTACCAAATGAGTAAAAGAATGAATGTTTTTATGCGTGTTTTATATAAAATATATTTGAATTTATGAGGGCATTTAAAATCAATGAGAAGAATTCATACTACTTGAGTAGCCATTTTTTCAGGGCGTTTTTTTGCAGACGGCTTAAAAGAAGTTTGTTTAAAAGCCAACATCTTGACCAAACTGAAATATCTTAGAGTTATGTTCTACAGTAATTAATATTACAACCCTCTTTAAGTCATCCTTTCGAGTCGAAAACGCATTTCAGACTTTCGGTTAACATTTCATTAGTTAGCACATCAACTGTGCTTATGTCTACTTTTATTATAAATATGGCCTATTTATATTTTAATATTATTTTATTGCCATCTTTTAGGCACTATGTTGCTGCTTAACTGTTTATTTTCCTCACTTTAGGGTGGAAAGGTCGACTACGACTCAACGTTTTATGAGGATCATACACTGCAGATATCACCATTTCTAACCCACGTCCTCCTTCTTGATGATGGATTTTGCAAAACGCCAAACGTTTTGAACTGCAACGAATTCCGTTGGCGGCTGGAAAGCAAAATTTGCAGTAAATGTCTTAAGATTCGATTGGTTTTCCCTAGATTTTTCTCACAGTAATCTATGCAACACTGATGCATCAGGCAGACCTATTTAAATTTCCGGTTGTATTCATAAAAAATATGGAATGCAGGTAGCCGGTTACACATATCACCTCTGTTACCGCTAGATTTCAGAATACGAACGTTTTTTCGCTACTGGTAAGTTCAGATCTTAGGATTATCATTAAACGGCAAGGGAAGCAGTAATCATTGCCATTTGCATTCAATAAACGCCGTAGAATGTTGATGAGCATTTGTCAAGTTAGACCGAATATTGACACTGAGATTACACTTGATGTCTGAATCCTTCAAATCAGTGCGACTGAGGACCTTGAACGCGGACCCGCAGTTTCTTGTTTTTATATTCCCCCACTTCTCCCTATCTGATTCTGCTGCCGAAATTGTAATTGTATGATATAACTATGAAATAAAACGACAGGAAATTCGTCTCACAGTAAGATTAAAGTGCCAAGACCTAAACTGACTAGTAGATTTTAGCGCTATTCGGTGGGATAAGGGAAGAATTATCCCCTGTATTACAGGTGGCCCCGCGCTCAATTCTATTAGATCTTGGGGTAAGGACACAGGACTAGGTCCTATAATTGTAATACAACGAGGGGTACCTATTCCCATGTCCACGTGACTACTTCTGAATTGTGTGCGTTGGAAAATTCGCATGTTCAGCGTCCTGACTGAATTCGCAAACCACATCCATCAGCCGACGACATTTTAGGCCACCGCGAATCCACCCGGTCACGGACTTTTCCCTAGCTCACATATTTCTGCGGACAATGGCCTTTTCTGATACATGCGTTCTCAGCTAGTTTGCCCTGTTAATTACATATACGGGGCGCTATCGGCGGATGGCTAAGAAGTTACTCACTCGGAGAGCGCAGTTAAATATCCCAGGCTCTGATTAGCTCAGCTAAGGAGAGCAGCATTGGATTCCGTTTTGCATTGGCCAACATCTCGCCTTGCTCATTCAGCATTAACGTGATTCGCTGTGTAGTGTTAACTTTTGCGTTTGCTATTCTTCTTTCTGTGTATGATGAAAACTCTTAATTATGTTTCCAAAAGGGTCTCTTTCTGCTTTGTTCAAAACTTAATCGTATATTAGATAAAAGCCCTCAGTGGTAAATAGAAGGTATACGTGCACGTGGTGCATACACAGTGTATCTAATTGCATGATTTCAGCAAACATTACCCAATATCCAGTAGGATATAGTAAGTTAATGCTGCATATCTGTGTGAGAAATGACGATGGACTCCTGTACGAGTTCGTAAGCTCAGAACAATAAACAAAATGTTCCGGTGCTCATCCATCCTTCTTCACTTGTGCGAGAAAGATTTGCAAGAATATGGAAGGGATTAAAAGTGTCTGAAATATATAGAACTAACCGTAAATGCATGGGTTTGCTTTGCTAATTGACACTTTTCGCGGGAGGTTCTAGAACGCAAAACAGCAATCTAGAGAGATCATTGTATAAGCAAAAGTAAAAACAGTATGCGATTAGGTGTTGTGGGCTCAAATAAAACGCTAATTTGCACTCAGACGAATGATGATCGAGCGAAGAGTGTTTTCTAAACTATTGCTCGGGATATTAGTAACACTCTGTCGACCGTTTGCACTCGATTTGTTCAAAAGTCTTCAATTCTGAGAAACCCATTTTAAATTCGGATTTGTAAAAGGATATGTGGCTTTATAAAAAGGGCCTCAGCAAACACCTGACTCTTATCTCTCCCTAGTTTCGAACACCTGGGTTTGTTTCTTCAAGTCAACGTGATATTTCTTACACCTTGCCTAAATTTGCCTGAAACGTGTTACTCATTGAAAACATCAGGATTCACAGTAGGTAGGCTAACTCTTAAAATGTCGACGAAAATTCCAAAATGCGTCGTTTCTAAAAGATTAATTAAGTAGGGTTGTAAAACTAATCATTAAGCAGCATATTTCTGTAATAGTCCAGTTACCTCTGGATGCCGGCCTTCAAATGAACTCTGCTCCAGCTGCATGAAAGACTGTACTCTGTAAAAGATGACTACTTAACTAGCATACATTTTTTTCGATGATTTTCGATGCTCTTAAATATTCAGCTATATTTCATAAAAATATGTATAAAACATTCATTCTTTTGCTCATTCGATTGAAAATTACGTCTTCTTCCAATTTTGTAGTCGAAGAAAGGTGCAGTTTAGTTTTCAGAAACTTTTCCGATTTCTGAATAATTTTGAACCCGGCCTTGCGTTGCACTTGCATTCAGGATTTTCAAACTACAAGCCGTACATTTCACGTGTACTCTACGGTATCAAGAGATCATATGGGGTTCATAAATTTCAGCATTGGATTTGAGCCACCTTGTTTAATTTATAAGCCACATTAGTGAATGCAGAGACATGGCGTTTTATGAATGGGCATTTCACGATATTAAGAAATTTCTCAATTGGGAACTTTATAAAACCGAAATATACCCTTCTTTTGGGTATAAGATTGGAAGAAGACGTAATTTTCTACCGAATGAGCAAGGCAGTGAATATTTGATTTATTTTCCGCAAAATATAATTGAAATTTTAGGGGCACTGAAAATCAGTGAGGATAATGCATGCTACTTCCGTAGTCAGTTGTGCAGAGTGTGGGTTTTGCATGCAGTCGGATAGAAGTTCATTCGAAATCTGGCATCCTGGGTTATCTGAATTATTATAGAATTATGCTGCATAATGATTAGTCTTATAACCCTACTTAATGAGTCTCCTCGAAACAGAAACGCATTTCGGAATTTCGGTTGACACTTCATGGGTTAGACCACCTACCGTAGCTATTACGCGGTTACTCAGTAGAAACCATTTGTATTAAATTTACATGTTGCTGTAAATTTTTGTGTTCATACAGAATGCCGTACATTAAATACTATACTCTCTGTCCCCTTAGCGACAGCAAACCAAATTATTTACTTATTTTATGGGAAGTTGTTCTACGCGAACCTTCTCTCACTGCATGTCGTACACCCCTATCTACAAGTACAGTCAACGGCCCATCTCTTGAAGTTAAGGTCGAAATTTAGGAATGCGTTTTCTATGTGGAGTGATTACTTAAGCAGAGTTGTAAAAACGATGAACAAGCAACATAATCCCAATATGTTCTGGTTATGCCAGTATGTCAGCTTTTAAATGTCCTACCTTTCGGCTGCCTGCTAAAACCGCACTCGGTGAAAAATGACGGCTTATTTAGTATGATTTCAGCAAAGGTAAAGTATGTGAAGGGGGTTTAGAAAAAACGTAAATGGTGGAACGTGTCTTACGGGAATGGTGATAACAGGGGTTATGCAGGTGGGGTTTCGCAGCAACGGTAAAGAAACCCTGGAAAGGTAATTCAGATAAAAAGTCAAAAAGCTGCCGTAGGACTAGTCTGCGGTAGGATAGTAAGCGAAGTCAGCCGTGTAATTCAAAGAGAAATAAAAAATACTAATCAGTGCATTAGATGTAAGTGAATAAAACGCCGCTGGTTAATTTACGCGGGGTCGGAGTGTAAGGTAATACGCAGCTACTAGGAAAGTAAAGCCGTGAGGGACAGTAGTGCCGGTTTACACAGTTCTTGGCAAGTAACGGGGACGTAAACATGCTCCGGACATATACTTTATCGTTATCACGATTTTTTTTCATTGAATTCTAACGTCCTTTTAACTTGAAATTTATTTTATTGAAAACATGGTCAAATTTTTCTTTTTTTACTCATGTAGTAGCATATCGCATTTCACTTAGACTTTATGCTAGAATAAAGGGAAAATTTCAATTTCTAAAACCTTAGTTTTGAGCTCCATTCGACATAGCATTTGAGTTAAGCCTTTAAATACTACAGGCTTTATACATTCTATCCAAGTAGAATTGTACATCCCTCTATGCCATTAAAAAGATGCATATAGTGCTTATAAAATTTGGTCTGTGTTGTATAATTCATAAAGGGTATTAATAAATGGGCGAACTCGTTGCTGTTTGAATGAATGTTTCACGATCTTCAGAATTTGCTTGAT